GGAGATGGTACTGCAGTAGTATCAAAAGTAACATCAGTAAAGACCTGCATGACTATGGAGAATGTAACAGTCAGTGAGGGAATTGTATCTCCACCCAGTATCTGTCCCCTCACCTGGTACTGTAAATTAGGGTTCAACCCAGAAAGAAATTTGGATACTGCCAGATCACGACGATACCCTAATAGCGTCGTTGCATCAGCTACTGCAGGCTGATGCATCTCTAGTTCGTCTATCAGTCCCTTCAATTCACCAAAGAATTCTGAAACTGACGTATTTCCCTGTTTGAGCGCAAACAGTCGCTCATAAATTTCAAATACACGGGAAACATTCTTCTCGTTCCCGTACATAATCATTAGGCTGTCCCACATCTCCTTCGCAGTGGTTACAAACATAACGCTGCTATTGATCTATGCTTCCATACTGTTGAGAAGCCAAGTCATAACACAATAATCAGATGATAGTCATGTAGTGTAAGTGGGATCTGAGATGGGTGGTGGAGATGCCAGAAGATGTGGGAGTTTGCTCTGAGCGCCAATGAAGATGCGGAAAGTTTGCGCCCATAGCAGATAGTTTGTACCATTCAATTTGATTGTAGTCCCCAAGACTACCTTAGGCGCAGAGGTCTCTCCAGCAACAACAGGAGTAGTTGAAGAGGAAATATCTGACATCGAAGTAGTAGTCATTTTTGCGCAACAATGGTAGATAGATAGTAGTCAAATAGGCAGTGCAGTAGTAGAGATAGTATTCAAAATAGGCAGTGCATATAGTAGACAGGTAGTAGTCAAATAGGCAGTGTAACAATAGGCATACGAGGCAAAGTAGTAGATAGTCACGCCCTCACGCCGTGGAGGCGATATCACCTGAGGGAGAGAGCTCTGGCTTCTGTTTGCACAAAGGCTCCAGTCAAACTCTATATTCTCGTTTCTCGAAGGAAACAAGAATAGAAGTGAAAGATCTCAACGAGGTGAGATAGACACTCTTCCTCTCATCAGTTCTATGACTGAAATGTCGAGGGATACAATCATCCTCTCATCAGTTTGAAGACTGAGATGTCAAGGGAATAGGTACTGTAGCGGCGGCGGCACTGTAGCGGCGCACTGGGGCGGCGGTAGTGGCGGCGGCAAGGAGAAGAGGCGACGGCGGCTAGAGTTTTTGAATGAGGATTTGTGACGGCTAGGGTTTCATGCTCTGATACCATGTAGAGAATAGAGAAAACCCTAATTGTTGTTTATTGAGAACAACAAGAGAGATATATATAGCCATACAAATAGAGTTAAGGTTAACGGGTAACAGCCCATTAACCCAATACCCAATACTTAACTTAACAAGGGTTATAGTTAACATTTAATAATTAACTTTAGAAATTAAAATAAAAGCTTTTAAAATTAACATTTTCGTTTACTTTGACATGTTATTTTGTTAACTTAAATTTTATTTATTATCTTGGGCATATCATTTTGTTAATTTTAATGTTTTTGATAAATTTGAAAATTTCTTAATTTTTTTTATTACATTTTTTTAAATTTTAGTTGTTTTGTGGATGGAGGAAAGGAAAATGAGAGGGACAAAAGAGGAAAGAGTAGGGGAAAGGGAGGGGGCGCGCGGAGAGAAGGAATGGAAATGGGAGGAGGGAGGTAGAACAGAGTCTTTCATGTTAACCTTAAAGCTTGCACGTTAACTTTAAATATTTATCTTAAATATTGTTAACTTCTACGTGCGTTTGATGAAAACGACATAGGCGAAGGAAGAAGGTGGTAGTGTGGGATCGGTGGTGAAAAGAGGGGAAGGGAATCCTCATGGATCCAGGAGGGCGAGATGAAATGTGTGTTCATGATAAAGTGGTGGAGGAGGAGGAAGGAAGCGGGGCAAGGAGGGAGATTGGGCAAACGTGAGAGGAAGAAAGGGAAGAGGAGAAGATAGAGAGGAGAAAGTTAGAGATGAAGATGAGGTTGAATATATATTATGGAAATTTAATTAGGAATGTGAGTTATCTTAGAAAAGGGAGCAGCACAGGAGAAAAAGGTTTTAGACCCTCACATTTTCTCAAGGGATAGCTGGGCGAACAAATAGAGTTCGTTTGATAGGCCTTGAGGTAATTTTCCCTTCTATTAAATTAAGCAACCACATTAGAGCAAATTTGGAGGAATTAATTAGGAGAATGGAGAGTTAACGTCATGGGTGTGCAACGGTCGGTTCGGTTCGGGTTTTACCAAAATTTGAACAACCGAACTAAACCGCCTATAATTCAAAACCGAACCGAACTGTTGCAAGTCTGTTCGGTGCAGTTCGGTTCGGTTTGTTCGGTTCTAACTTCATCAAACTTCTTATCAAACAACAAACTGTGTTAAAGAAAAAAAAATATCGACAAAGTAGGAGATTATGAAGCATTAAACACTGATATAATGATATTGTTTTCAACCCATAATGATTCAGAAAATAAGTTTAGGGTTTGAGTCATTGACTCTTTGGGGACGGTCGGGTAGGGTTTGAGATCAGAATGAGTAGTATTGCACTATATTCGGTCGGTTCGGGTTGAAAAGTTTTCAAACCGAACCGAACCGTCCTACTCATAAAACCGATTTTTTCTGGTCGGTTCGGGTCGGTTTTTTCGGTTTGGACCGAACAATGCTCAGCCCTGCAATGACGTTCGATTCCCCCATCTCTCCCCCCCCAGATATTGTTTTCAACCCATAATGATTCAGAAAATGAGTTTAGGGTTTGAGTCATTGACTCTTTAGGGACGGTCGGGTAGGGTTTGAGATCAGAATGAGTAGTATTGTACTATATTCGGTCGGTTCGGGTTGAAAAATTTTCAAACCGACCCGAACCGTCCTACTCATAAAACCGATTTTTCCGGGTCGGTTCGGGTCGGAATGGACTTGGGCCACAGAATGTGTCTCGCTACCCTTTAGCTAGCAAAGTTTAAATTACTGTACAAACAAAAGGGAAGTTCAACATTTGTGCCGTTGAGCTCAGGTAGGCCTGTCCAATTTGAATTCCAATATCACCAGCCCAATTTCAGTAGATTTGCGGTCTGTGTTTTCGAATTTATGGATACTTGCAACTTGCAAGAGAAGACTGAACATTTAAAACATGAGAAGTAATTTGACAACGATGCATGACAAATATGAAATATTCAGGAGTTGACGGAGATTTGTCTCCGAATTATATAAAAGTTACACAATATGCTACAATTTCCATATGTTACCCATAATGACCTATAACAAAATTATGATAAAAATCATGCGCTAATGCTCATCAAGCTTAAACATACAATTGATGCACTACTCATATAAAGACAATTGCCCCCCTCAAATTTCTCAACCAACAAATTATCATGAAATGTTTGATGCAATAGTTGGAAGGGAAACGGTTGGAATCACTCTTATTATATAATTGCAACATGTGATAACATGAGTAGCATCACAGACACTAATCTCTGAAGCCAAATATAAACCTCTTAGCTCCCAAAGGTGGTTAATGATGACTATCAGTGCATATATATGATTAATTGTTGAAGGGAAAGCTAAAGCATTAATCATCAATCATCACATGTACGTGCTTTCTCTTAATAAAGGTTAGCCAACCTCTAAAACAAATATATACCAGACTACCTTTGTTTCCCAATACCAACCTTTTGAAAGGAACCAAACGCCTCAAGAAAAAAATACATGCTTCTTTCCCAGTAGCTTCCACTGCTGTATTCGAATGTATCAACAACTTTAAGCTCGCAAAGGCACGCAATTCTTCTGTCCATCCTGAAGAGAACATGATCGCCCAGTTCATCACTGCCATACTTTGAATCAATAATGACATTATTCCGAAACATTCAATAGGGAAGATAATAAAATAACGATAATAATTAAAAACATTTGGATAATAAAGTGATCCGCACGAAAAGTTAGAGCAACCAAATCGTTCAGAAAGTAAACATATTCTTTGATTTATCCGCAAACAGTATATGTCACATATTTCGCAACTTGTTCATTACATGCTCCATCATTTCTGTTTTATTTATTTTCTGTATGACTATTCATAATTTGTTTCTTAATAAGGTGAATGGACCAAAACCAGCTTCTAGTCTATAATGCCATCATTGTTGCTTGAGATTTTGACAACATAACAACAAATAAGCCATGATATCGGTGTCTGTAGTCACTGAGGTTATCACCTTCAACACTACAGGAGCAGTTAAGAATCAATGAAGCACCTTCTTCCCATTCATAGTTGCATGACCGGCTATGATGATAATGTAGAAACTTAGAAAGTACAAAAGCATCATTTGCCCCTTTGCTTGTTTTTCTCCTCATATTTCTATATGCCTAAAGTTATTGACACATTGATACTCAGCAATCTTAGCTATCAAGTCCAGCGTACGCTTTTGAGATTAATCCAAAAGAAATTATAGATGGGTGGCATGTGCTGTAACTCATGTATTCCTCATGCCCTCATCAAGGGCACTAGTTGATGCTTCTCCTTTAGCGGGCCATGAGGGCCTTCTTCATGTAAATAATATAACACTAAGGGCGGCTGTAATGATCCACACATGCTGTGACTCATCATTACTGTGAGGAGTTTTGCACGTAATTTCCCTGAACTTTTGTTATCTCACAAAAAAGCCTCTGAACTTTGAGGTGTCTCACAAAATCCCCTTTAAAGCTTAACTTTTCTCAGGACTACTTGTAGTTGACAAATAACCAAAATGGTCTTGAGACAAAAAAGGGTACGTGTGAGATAAACAACGTCCGGGGGAGTGATGTGCGAAATCCCCAAAGATCAGAGGTTCTGTGAAATTAACCCTAAATAATATTACCTGCCTTCGTATCTTTATAATGAAAAACATATCATTACATAGAGACTAAAAGAGAACTTGATTAGACTTTTCAACTAAGGTTGTCTACGTATTGAGTACCTCATTCTATCAAACACTCAAAAAAGAACACCACTGGCGCTTATATATGCTATTCTCACCGAGACCTCGTTGCACTGTCTTTATATCATCTCTTAAAGAGACCAGTCAATCTCTATCTTCAATGGATACAGACGCGAAAATGTCATCCCTTGAGCCAATGGACCTCCTCTCAGAATCATGGTGCAGCTCAGCCATCCAAGTCTTTCAACCAGCAATTAGAGAGAGTTCCATCATGCCACTTGAAACCAATAACAACTCTCCATCACTGGTGAGTAAATTGCACTTTTGTTTGTTTGTCACTTTGAAATGGGAGCTACAAGATGGATTGAGATCATAGATGAATGCAGAAGAGTGATAAAAACCTCAAGTTGGAAGATGGTGAGAGCAAGTTATTACCACCATGGAAACTTGATGATTTGAAGGTGATGAGCCCTTATTATAGCGAACAATCCATGTTACTATTGATAATCTTTTATATCATTCATCATGTCATTTACTCTTTTTTCCCCGCTTTCTAGTCATGGATATGGGTGCAACAGGCAATGCATCCTGAACTCGATTATGATATATGCTTCAGAAAGAAATGGGTAAGAATCTTACACATTACATTTTACCTCCGTCTACTCAAAAACCTTATCGTTTATGCTAATTCTGCAATGTAAAGAGTACTATCCTATTTCAACTTCTAGTTTATTTTCAGTATATGCTATTCCCATGCCCGTATTGCACATATTTTCTTCACGGTCCCTGCCTACATGCTTAAGTTCACATTACTATGGATATACATACTACCATGTAACATATATTCTACATTAAGTTGGGTGAATAGTGAATACATGATAGCTCCTTAGGACCATAGATACACATGATCATACAACTTTGTACATAAACAGCCATCTGTATCTCTTCATTCCTGACATGCTTGACATCCTCGTGAACAAAAACAACAAAACCTTTATCTCAAATTATTGAATCACTACATGAATCATATTCTTCCAATTGAGTTTGCTAGGGGCTATGTCCTCCATTTAACTAATCAATAGCAATATTGAATTGTCTCTGTTTCCCATGATCAAACTGTCTCTATTGATTCTCTCATTTTATCCTCAGTAGGAGCAATCTGACTCCTATAGATGCGCTAGCAATCTGACTCCTATAGATGCGCTCATGTTTTATCATATCCCATATACTGTATATCAACACGTGTATAGAAACATCCTCAATTCTGATACTCATTTTTTGCACATGTCGTTTCTCGATAACCTTACTTTCTTATTTGTACCATATCTTAGTTGTATTATAGTTTTCCTGTAGACTCTTCCTTTCTCATAGGTATTTTAGGATCAGGCACGACTCCATAAGCACTCCTATACTTTAAGCATCATGGTTTCATTCAATGAACCACACAAATACCCACCTCCCCAAACCCACGCCCTGGTGCTGGACGCACGCATACTCGCATGTGACAATCACCCAAGGCTTCTTCCCTTTGGCATAACATAATATTGGCACATAACTATACTTTTTTTTTTAGAATGCAGTTCTTAGAGTGCTCCCCACACCCCACAACTCCTAAGCCAATAAATAAATAAAATGCTCCACAAGCAAAAAAATCAAAAAATCAAAAGATCAAAAGTAGGAAAGGTGAAACCCTACTTTTATTATATAAGTCATAAGTACAAATTTTTATTATACGAAAACCTCAATGAAAACATAGATTGTTTTGGCTGGTACCTGCACACATGTCCAAATACATCACTAACCACTTGTTAAAAGAATCAAAATTGGAACCAAAAATCATATTTATCAACACTTCATCAAAGAAATGAGTGACATCACTTTCGATCGATGAAAAAATGTTGATGCAGCCTGAAGCATGTAGCAATGTAGCTGATCTCCATGCAGAAAACCTTGTATTTATTAAACCTTTGTACAAATCATTCTTCCTTGTATTGTTGTAACATTTTGATTTTCAAGCAAGTCAGTAAAACATTTCTACTTTCGATGATAATAGTGTGTCTACTTTCATCTCACGCGACAATTACACTATCCTCATTCTTTATACATTGAACCAAATCCAAATCTATGCATTTCTCCTATCATGTCGAAAGAATGAAAGTGCATTTGTCACCTAAATTTGAGAGTTAACAATCAAGATGCAGCAAGGACCAGTTTATGAATTATTTTTCACATGCTTTGAAATTTACACATTTCCAAAATGTACAATTAACTTTTGAAACTATTGGTAGATAATATGCTAGAATAATTGGTAATGGTTCAAAGACTTTTGTTGTAGGTCAAATTTTAACAATTAGAATGAGACATTCCACTCATTGGTCTTCAACGTTCTGAGTACACTATAGAACTCCTCTTTTACGAGGTATCTTATTACCTAAGTTTAATGTATAAATGAGTTTCTGCACATATTTTCATATTTTAAGTTAAAAAATGTGCAAAGTAAAGGAGGATATGAAGGGTACAACATGCAAAAAGAAAAGAAAAGAAAGGGGTTTTGTTATATAAAACTAGCTTTCGCCACTTCTAGGATACAAAGGAATCGTTTTCTTTTCCTTTCCCCTCCCCTTGATGACTATCAGCATGACAATATTATAATACTAACATTATATGTCTGTGTGTGTCTGTGTATAACGACTGATACAATGGTGAAAGGGCAATATTCATTGCAGTTCTCCAAGAAGTTCAAATCATGGACAGGGAACTCAATAAAGAAATGGGTGAAGGAAATGAAACGGAAGAGGAAGGAGGAGGAACGACTACAAAGAGCAGAGGTGCATGCAGCCATATCAGTTGCAGGGGTTGCATCTGCACTTGCAGCCATCGCAGCAGATAATACAGCTGCCAATCAAGCAAAGTCATTGAAGGAAACAGCAGTGGCCTCTGCTGCTGCTTTAATCGCAGCCCAATGTGCACAAGTTGCAGAAGCTGCAGGTGCAAGGAAGGATCAGCTTGCTTCAGCTATCGATGCTGCCACAACTGCTACTGATGCAAGCAACATCATCACCCTCACTGCTGCTGCAGCAACATGTATTGGTCTTTTTCCTTAACTATTCTTTAGCACGAGCATTGAATATCTACACTCCCAAGTAGCAACATCATATACATTTTCTCAGTGCTTCCCAAGAGCAGTTTCTACTTAATGTATTACTTTATCACCTAGGCTGCTCTAATATACGTCTCCCGGATGATTAGAATTACTCCAAAAAGGGTCCTCGATAGATGTGTTATGGGAGGACCTCAACTTATCTCTGACGAGATTGTACATACTCAAACCTGAATACATTTTGTTCATCTTTCAGCATTAAGAGGTGCAGCAACACTACGGGGAAGGCCAGATCACAAGGAGAGGATAAAGGGGAGTGCATTAAGAAATGGGAATGACGGGGTTGACTTTGACTATGAGAGGTGCAGGGCATTGCTGGCAAAGGGAGAGGAGCTTCAAGTGAGAACACCAGATGGTAAATAGTTAATACATCTACTGCATTATGAAACCATCAAACATCGTCAGAACAAAAAAAAAAAAAAAACCTACTATGATACTAAAGATAAAGGGTGCAACTAGCACAGGTCCTGTATAATTTCACTCCAAGCTTTGAGCAATCCCTGCTTCATTTCCCAAACAAACCTAATCACAGGCTTGTAAAAGTCGACCTGCCAAAGCCCCTCTAAAGAGACACTAGTGCAGGTCCTAGCTAGTTGATTAGGTTGGTTAGGCAAGGCTAGCAGTGATTTTTGTAACTTAATATACAAAATATGATAAAACCCATCCTCCAAAAACTAAAACCGACATTAAGAATCTAAGATAGATGTTTTTGCATACATTAATTTTAAAAAATTGCATACATGTGCATAACAACATATATAAACAGGCATTCACACACAGGAAAAAGCAAGCAAAAGATAGATGTTTTTGCATTCGATATTTTGTCCTTCATTTATGTAGAATAACACACTACAAGCCCTTAAGGTATGTCACTTTAGGGCTCATTCACATCACAAGGGTTTGACTGCAGTTTGTTTGGTTGCTAAGTGTGCACAGGTAAAGCAACAGGTTCAAAATCAAATGACCTCATGACAAAAACACAATGCAAGAGCATAAGCCTGATCCTTAGCATAAAATGGAAAGCACATCCATCATACCATCTTTCTCAAGCTGGCTCAATTAGAT